ACAAAGCAATGTTGATTTATCTTCGAATGGTGAAGAAACGTCTGCAAGTCAATCGTCGAGTTCAAAAATTAAACCAAAAGCTGTTATTGAATGCATCCATCTAGAAATATTCCGACATGTTGTTAACCAGTGTTCCACAGATGCAACTGTACTTATCCTGAGGGCGCCACGAAAAAACGCTCGTTTTCTTGTTGACTACTGAAAAGAATAAAACCTACCACAGGCAGGCTAGTTCCTTGAGAGCTTTACAGCCACATTGGGTTGAGTACCGACTTTGATGCTAATTGATCTGGGGGCAAGGTGGTAAATGTACTGTTTGGAAAGTCCGCGGTTAGAACCCGACCTCTGCCTCTCGGCTTCCTCTGTCTAAGCTTGGGCAACTATCGTCCTTCCTTCTGGCGGTATGACAGTTAGGCACCGATAGGGTGCTACAGCTGAAGAATTTTTCAAACAAATAATTTTGTTAGATCATGCTGCACAAAGAAGATAGAATCATTTGCCATTATGTATCTATGAGAACCAAACAAAACACTTGCAGATTGACACAAGAAAGAAATTGGATGCGATTTATCTCGCGGTATTTCTAAACATCGCTTGCACTCAGAGTTCTTTTGGACAGATGCGTATTTGAGAACCAGTTGTAATGTATAAACACACTGACATCCGCGCGTGTTGGCAAATTGTACTGCCTAACTGCTCAATCTGCTCAACCTCAACAAGGGATATACATCCGACTATGTGTGGGGAAAAACAAGAATTCAGTATGATGTTAACGTCTCTCAGGGGATCTTTACATCACCTAATAAAGCCGTCACACATGATTTCTTTTTTCCACTAGAATATTCTGCAAAAGTAAAGGAAAGGATACAATGAAACATAATTTTCAGCAGCGCAGTTTGCATCACTGATCTAATGTTGGTTCTCTTCTCAGACCGCAGCATTTCGGAGAAAAATCCAGCTAATGATTGTCTTTCTTCGCATATTTTCTAAATTTCCTAAATGATCGGGATGATTTAGACTTTCATATTTCAGGAATTGATATAAAATTGGCATTACCTTCATCAAAATCTATGATTGAAAAACTAGGGAAATGGCGCAGTAATTCACTCTTCCTGAAAATTGTAACAGATTTGCCTTTGGACTTTTTTCCAAAGGAAACTTCTCCCTCCCCTCAAGAAAAGTGTGCTTGAACCTGAGAAAAACATCATTCATCTCATTAAAGTGGAAAGCAGACGGGTAATTGCTAATAATTAGTCATATGTTGCTATGATTTGTTTTCCGGAAAAAGTCACAAAGCGCAGTTGGGACCAATCACCAAGCAAGACCGTCCATGCGGTAGAAAAAACAGTAAAAATTCCTCTTGAATGATAGTGGAAAAATTGTTGTCTGAATGACTTTCTTATTTCACGAAATAATATTGCCTTCCGATTTGACGTCACTGCACCCAACGATTTCGCTTAAACTCAGCTATCCGTTGGCTTATTTTGTCAAGATTCTAACCATGTATACCCTCCCGTTTTTAGATGTGCACCCGCTCGGACCTTTAAGACCTTAAGGTAACAAAAGCTGGCGAGCCACTTAGTGTGGTATCGATTACCATATGTTTTTTGAACTTGATTTGCTCCAAGTATACTCCGGCAAACATGACTTGAGTGACCGAACAGCTACAAACATCTGTAATGACCCATCGAATTCATGAAGCCCAGTGTTCTCATTATATGAATCGTCCTAGCAATCCAGCTAGGGAATAACGGTATTCAGTAGTTCGCCGTGTTGGTTTCTTGGGACGTTGGTTTGGTTGCTTGCTGCGATTTGATTAGGCAAATCTAAAATCCGGACTTGACTGACAGATTAATGGAAGGTTTGCGGCAAACCTGGGATGCCAGCCACGCAATGATCAAATTAGGATATGAACGCCCCCTTCTTTTTGAATTGTAGTTCGAGCTGCTGTCGCTACTTTGCCAATTTTATGCAAAATACACTAATAATTTTCAGCTTTCGCAAGAAAGTTGGAAAGTGGTGTNACACTAATAATTTTCAGCCTTCGCAAGAAAGTTGGAAAGTGGTCTAGGGAAGCAACGCAACTTAAATAGGGTTGTGAACCACCTATGGAAATGTTCCGATCAATGTCTTATGTGAATAGCAATAAGGAACATATCCAAATATAGCTTAAAAACTTGTAGGGCAATAGAATACTGAGAGCCAAAGAGACTGAAAATAACATAGTATCGTTGACAACAATTCCATTGGTTTTCCACCTGACGTTAGTACTGTCGCAATATTCCATTGATAATACCCCAAACTGTCCAAAAATTTAGGCAAGGCTCGCCGCAAATCGACCAGTGTTTTGGGCCAACTCTTCTGGTTAGTGCGCTTGGAGCGAACGGAAGTTCAAGGAGTTGATTCGAAGTACATCAAATCCCACTGCTTGTTCTTTTTGGCTGCCGGATTTTAGCATTGATATGGTCAATAAATTGATTTTTTCTTTCGCTGTGAATAGTCAGCAGATAAGAACACGCAGAGAAATGTTTTTGTACATTTTTTTGTTTAAGCTCAAGCAGCATAAATCTTTGGTTATTTTATCGACACATATTTGCAAGTCAGGGTAATCAAAACGGTATATATCTGGGGCCAACCATCTTTCGACTTTGGCATAATGTCCTGATTACCGATGGAATCCTTATTTTTTTGAGATTCTGACGATCAGCAGGCGATGGGAACCAAAGGCTGAGCATATAAATAGTTCCTAATAAGCTGAGCCACGCGCCAACTTTGTTTCCTAATGAACATCTTCAGATAGATGCAGAGAGAAACAGATGCTGTTTTAGACAGCGAAGATCGCTAGCTGATTTCTTAAGCTGAACATATATTCAGTGTCGAACTGAACGAGAGCATGTTTACGATGCTAAACGGGTGAGCAAACAAAACTTGAAGAAGTATCAAATGGGGTGGGAGTTTCAGCTTGGCGCCAAACCGCATGCACTCTGAGCTCTACTAGCTATCCCGTGAAGCCATCCATGACGAAGCTTGAAGTATTCTGTTAAAGCAGTGGATCTCGTCGAGTCATAACTGGAACAAGCCAGTGGAAACCTCACTGAACATGAAATGAATCCTTAAACAAATTTGCGTGCTTTAAAGAATGAATAAGGTTAGTAATGCGAACACCGTTTAGTTGACATAGAACGAGGTTCCATGGGGTTGTATAATCCCAAGTTGCCCTAAACCGGGGCAAGCGAACCAGGGTCGACCTAACACTGACCCTTCCTTTCCATGAATCCGCCTTCAACAACAGTCTACAGAGATAAGTACATTACGGTAAAAATGGGGAATCCGAAGATTTGCCACACCATTCGCAACAAAACGCTTGTTTACACACAAGCTGAATGTGTCAGATCACTAACTTAGTGGAGTGAAGGGAATCTGAGAAGCTAAGTCTTTAGCTTAATAATTACTTTGAATCGCTTCAAAGGTCCAGTCGTCCTGATGTTTGACTTGCTTGTAAAGTCTCACCACTGACAAAATGGTCGAGTTTTCTGGGATATTTTTGGCCGCTTTGACCAGTTGACCATTGGCTTCTTTGCTAGGGTTAGTATCTTTCTTGTACATGTTTCATCACCAATCAACAAGACCTGATCAGTACGCGTTTAGGTAGTTCGACATTCCTGCCTGTTTTCATTTCTGAATATTTCAGAGAGTATACTATCTATGGTGACGTGACTAGATAACTAGAGATAGGTTTCCTGTGGCCTTTCTGGTTCGCTTAAAATCTGTCTTGCTTTGTGGTTTGCAAACCCTGAATTATATAGGACTTCCGACTAACTTTTTTTCAAGTGTTTTTGTACCCGCCTCATTTCGTCCACTTACGGTTTAGGCTGCGTAGTGCTCTGTCTTCCCTAAATTTAAAGGTAATATGGGTCTCTTATTTTATTATTTTCCTACTTTCCCTTTTATTGGTCCATTCTCAAATTGCAATGATTTTTTGTCTGCTTATACCAGATGAGTATTCTCATCTAAACTTGCATTGTAAGTTTGAAAAAATAGAATATATCAGGAATAAACAACGGCAAGACGGTTAAGATTTTATGACTATCTCAGCATACGGAAAAGTGTGATGACTGTTTGGATAGTGTGTTATACCTTCAAAAAGGTTCCTATTGGAATATGTAAAAATGTCACCAATAAGGTAAAAATCAGTGATGTCATTTCTAAGGGAGGTCTCAATGCTAGTGCTCAAATAGGAGGAAGCAATATAAGCCTTTTGGCTCCCTTATTTGGTCTTAACGGATGACTCAACTGAATGCTGGCTGAATATGTCGTTCATGATATTTTTCATCTGAATATGCGGCTTTAGGACGACCTCATAATCTAGTTCGCATGTTCCAGATATCGCAGCAGACTTTTTTCATGTAGCACCACTTATAAGGCTGAAAGATCTTTGATGGCCCCAACCGGTTTCGCACGACGTTCCAATGCACTTGTGTGCAGTCTCTCCTAGTCTCATCCCTAGTTTGCAACCTCTTGTTGGGGAGCCTCCCATAGAACAATTCTCCCCTAGCACTGTGTCCTGTGTCATTGGGCTTGCCAGAGTTTCAGTAGTCCAACGTAAGTTCCGAAATATGCATTTCTTTTGCTGTCATCCCCCCAATGGCAGTTGCACTGGTCCAACGCGCAGCCTTGTTGCTATCGCAACCACGCTAGCTTTACTTGCACTATCACATGACATCACTGGCCCAAGTTGGTGACCCCGCTGCAAGAAGGCACATCTTGGATGAGCGAGACCCGGACACGAGTTTCTTTCATCTCTAGGGTGTGAAGTACGTGCACTATTACGCCTGCATTTGTTGGAGCGTTCGCATGGTCGTATGTGCCCTGACACTTGACCAACTACCAGTGGAAAAGACGTCGGGGTGTCTAGGTACGCAGTCGTCATGCCATCCAGGGAACATCTGCTTTCTCTCCGTTGGGTTGTAACAGGCCTTGGCACTGTGGGCTTGTCTCAGTCAGCTGACCTTGACTGAGGGCCCGTGAGTGTGAATATAGGCCTGCGTTCCGGTGCTCGAAGCCCAGGGACACAGTAGCGCGTTCGCTGACACTTCCTCATAGAAAAGACGGGGTAGTGCATCCACTTTACCGTACCCTGAACGAATGAAAGCAAATCTTATCACGACCAACGGGGTCAAATTTTACCGTATGTCTGACTGGGACTCTGAATGTGTTGAATATCTGGTTTTGTATCTCATTCAAATATTCAAAATAAAGATCTCTTCAACAAAATAATACCAGTGAACCTACATTGGACTATGGTAACAAAAAACATACATGCAGTTATTTCGCATCACCTGCCAAAATACAAAGATGAGTTGAACCCTTCTGTCAAAGAGCGAACCAAAGGCAGCACCAGAAACTAAACAGTACCCGCTGGTGACTAAAAGCATGACAAAAGTTCTTCGATTCTGTATACTCATATCAGTTTCCTCCATTTAGTCTGTTCGGTGAAGTTTCACCTTATGCATTCGGAATACTTCACTAAAACAGATTATAATAATGTTGGTAAACAGTTGATTGTATCTTTTCGAAGGTATTCAGCTGAACATGATCTACAGGAAATTTGCTCCGGTTTCTAGAGCTATGTTTGACTGTGCTTTGACTGTCTTTGGATAGCGGTAGTCGGTAGCACCACCCAATTACATTCTAGTACTGGTGGTACAATGACAATAAACCTTGAAGCAACTGATTGCAAAAGGATTGCTTTATTTCTTCAGCATGTCTACAGAAAATACATACAATACCTGCCTCCTATAAGGAGTTTTGAGTGGTGGAGGTAATACAACGTGGTAGCACATTTGCAGCTGTTCGCTTTTGCAAATTAGTAAACGCCGATATCGTGCAGGTGTGCGATAAAAGCGAACTTTGTCATCTAACGATATCAAAATCGCGCGACGCACTCATGCTGTCATGTTATGTACGAATTCGTAGCTTGCCCAGCAAAGCAAATCGGAAGGACGTTGTCACGTCTGCGACCGACATTTTGCTGCTAGGCCTAATCAAATGTACGAGTACGCTACAACGCCAAAGTTATCCCCAACAATCGTTCATAGCATTGTTCAAGTGGAAAGTGAAGCGGCGTGATAGGACTGGTAAAAGTTCAAAAAGGCAAGTGTGGGGATTCGATATAGGGATAAGTCAGTTACTGTTTATACATAATGTGGGGAAAAAAGCAGTTGTTCAAACAAAGTCAGGACTCCGTGAATAGTAATGCCGTCGGTAGTTAAGGCATGCCAAAGTTTACAGTGTTCACAGAAGAAAATCGCGCCGTTATTTCCATGATGCTAAGCTTGAATAGGGTGATTGTAAATCCCATCACATGTTTGAAATGTGCTCGCCTGTCGACTGCGTACCCACAAACCAAGTTTTATGAAACACAAAAATAAGAATTAAATGAACTGGGGCATTAAGCAAACAACTACTTATACTACTACTTATAGCAGACCCAATCCGAATCGACAATTTTTTTCTACAAACTTCAGATTTCCTGTAGTTTGTGCATTGAACTGTGGCCAGTTCAGACGGCAAATGTTAACGGTAACACCTATCCAGTATGCTACTTTAGCCAGTGATTTGTCTGTATGAAGCGTCAGCAGAACGGTCGAACACCAGCACCAATCGAAAATTGACTCCAAAATGTTTCTCCGTAACTGTGTCTTAAAGTCCCACGTCTCACGCAGTAGGTGAGACATCCAGGCACGAGAGAGAGTAGAGTGATGCAAAAAAAACACCCAATCAAAATTGATTCATGTGGTTATCTGCTTGAAACACGGTGCAAAAGAATCGCGAACCCTAATTGTGCTTTTCGGCGCCGTAGGATAACGATAACACAGTCCTATCACGGCTAACAGAAAACCGCACACAGTCATTACCCAGCAACTATTAAACGCACGAAAGTAGTTTACTGAAGCAGTGACGAGAAAGTTCTCTAAAGGTTCATTAAAAAAAGCGGAACTTGGGGTGGCATCTGCGGACACCCGACCAATTAGACTAATCAGTGATCCAACGGAATACTGGTAATGGAAATCTATCATCTTTTGAGAGTCGCTACGTTTGGCAGCGAACTATGGATGGGAAACTTGCGAAATAACGTTTGGTGATAGGTGACTTTTGAGTCAATTTTGGAATATTTGTTGACGTTTCTGTAGGAACTGACATCATGTAATCATGGAAATAACAAAATCCTGTCGCTATTGCATACCGAATAACTGCTGTTTTCCCAAATCTTGCGTTGCAAACAATTCTAGGTTGTTAGTATTCAGTGAAGATGTTTTGAATGAGAGAAAGCGACATCGCTGCGTGCAAGAGTCTATTTAATCAAACTGTTTATTCAGCAGAAGACCGGCGATATGTCTTCAGCAGTGCCGCTTCGACGTTCCCCTATGGACATGTATGCTGGTGACTTGTAAAAGTGTCTGAAATGCTTACAGTTCAGCCTGTGTGTTTACTTCGTCTTTTTGTGAGATTGGTCATGTGGTTTCTTATGCTCCGTTTTATTTAACCTCCATGCTAAATGTTTATATGAGTGAATTATTCGGCAGATTAACCCTAAACGGCTTTCAGGAAACGATCACATTGTTCATTTTTCAATCGATAGATCGTTCATCGATTGAATTTTCATTGGTATTCTGTTCCGATCGTCCCATCATCTCAGTTGAAAGTCCATAAGTGTCTGCAACCCACAGTTGTCCGCACTCACGTAGATGACCACCTATGGACTCAAAATCGGGGTCTCGAATAGGCCAAATATCATTAAATTATGGTTTACATATGTGCATCTAACTATGTGACTGAACAAATAACCAGAAAATAAAATCATTATTCTCCAGCTGCTTGTGAAAACATTTCTTCGCAAATGAAAGTTTTCGGAAGGGGGGTTGGATCAGGCTCCGTATGCTCACCCTGCTGCCCATCTCGTCTCCTATGCGGGTTACGTGTTGCCCATCACTGTTTTGGTTTTCGCAGCCTTCCGGACACCCGACCAATTAGACTAATCAGTGATCCAACGGAATACTGGTAATGGAAATCTATCATCTTTTGAGAGTCGCTACGTTTGGCAGCGAACTATGGATGGGAAACTTGCGAAATAACGTTTGGTGATAGGTGACTTTTGAGTCAATTTTGGAATATTTGTTGACGTTTCTGTAGGAACTGACATCATGTAATCATGGAAATAACAAAATCCTGTCGCTATTGCATACCGAATAACTGCTGTTTTCCCAAATCTTGCGTTGCAAACAATTCTAGGTTGTTAGTATTCAGTGAAGATGTTTTGAATGAGAGAAAGCGACATCGCTGCGTGCAAGAGTCTATTTAATCAAACTGTTTATTCAGCAGAAGACCGGCGATATGTCTTCAGCAGTGCCGCTTCGACGTTCCCCTATGGACATGTATGCTGGTGACTTGTAAAAGTGTCTGAAATGCTTACAGTTCAGCCTGTGTGTTTACTTCGTCTTTTTGTGAGATTGGTCATGTGGTTTCTTATGCTCCGTTTTATTTAACCTCCATGCTAAATGTTTATATGAGTGAATTATTCGGCAGATTAACCCTAAACGGCTTTCAGGAAACGATCACATTGTTCATTTTTCAATCGATAGATCGTTCATCGATTGAATTTTCATTGGTATTCTGTTCCGATCGTCCCATCATCTCAGTTGAAAGTCCATAAGTGTCTGCAACCCACAGTTGTCCGCACTCACGTAGATGACCACCTATGGACTCAAAATCGGGGTCTCGAATAGGCCAAATATCATTAAATTATGGTTTACATATGTGCATCTAACTATGTGACTGAACAAATAACCAGAAAATAAAATCATTATTCTCCAGCTGCTTGTGAAAACATTTCTTCGCAAATGAAAGTTTTCGGAAGGGGGGTTGGATCAGGCTCCGTATGCTCACCCTGCTGCCCATCTCGTCTCCTATGCGGGTTACGTGTTGCCCATCACTGTTTTGGTTTTCGCAGCCTTCAAAAGTTTGAACTGTTACTGTTCAAGGGGTGATGGTTACTAGGTACTCTCTCAGCTAAACTTACAACAGAGGTTTCGCTTGAGTGCCTGACAAGTACAAATGACGTGACGCCGAGCAGCTTCCGACATTTTTGGCAAAGTTAAAAAGCGGTCTGTGTGTCAGCCGAGAACTACGGCAACGTGCTCTTCTCAAGCTGAGTTGTCGTAAGAGAAAAATATATCACACCAACAAGTAAACAAAGTCATGGGAGACAGGGATCAACAAGCATTCCTAATCTTTCATTCTCAGTCTTGACAAAGGCCTAACTAGTCATCTAAGCGGACTATAGTAATTTCTTCAAAAGTATGATACCGTTGGCAATTGGCTCTTTGGCCTCTCTTCTGGTTGGCCTTTCTCCAAGGGTGGGCCATTACCCCAAATTAAGGTTAAACAGAAACTTTATTATAGCCTCATTTCAAAGATATCACTCTGTAAACAAGGATCATCCCTTTGTAGTGACACAGACTTTGTCAGCTTACCGGCATAGATTGGTAGCACTCAGTTTAGCCACGAAACGACTGAGCACGTTGGCTCGGTGTATACCATACCATTCCGACAGACAACAATTAACCTCGATTTCAAAACGACTCATCCATACCACATTCAAGACCACACATTCATCCCATACAATACATACATATCCCAAATAATATGGTTGTTGTTTTGTTCGCTGGGCTCTGCGTACAATGCACAACCACCAACCCACTGCTACGAACAACTATGCTACCCAATAACGCACTGATGTCACCTCGATTGGTGATGAAACGTTTGCAATCCAACTGCCAAGCTCGGTGAACAGACCAACAACCATCTACGCTACCTGAGCTACCGACATTTTCCGCCACTATTAGATAAGAGCTCATTAGAACATCAAATGAGGTTCGATATGGAGTAGAAAGGCCGTCATTACTCCAAAGATCATCATGGTTTTAGCGTGTCGTTTTTAAGTACGACTGCAATCACGAATTTGCTCAAATAAAAACCACTATACGTTACATTTTCTTCAGAGCGCAAAGTGTTGATCGCAGGATACCCACCAGCATTGTTTTAGCTTCTTATAACTCTATATAGAGCGACGTTGATTTCACCCTGGATACAAGCCCTTCTTAGGAGAATCATCACAACAACGAATGGTTTTCTTGAAGCACAATTTTCCGCAACGACAAAAACACCGAAGACCTAATCGCGTAAATAGTGAAATGCCTCTAACACCAGACCCAACTCTAACTGCGGAGACCGTGAAAATTTCATTGTTCAACTGAACGGATCGACCAACTACTATCCACCGATTGTTTACCAAAGCCCTCTGAAACGATAACTACCAAGTCGGTTCTAAACATTTTCCGAACAACTACAACTACTGTTTTTTTTCACTCTGCGACAGGCGCCGAATGGAGAGAAATGTGCTGAGTCCAGCTGAAGCCTACTGATAACACCTGTCCTAATGAAAAAAGCCAGACTAAAGGATCATATTAAACATTGGGGATGAAAAAAGCCAGAAAGGATCATATTAAACATTGGTTTTACACCATTCCGATGTTAACAACTAGTTGGTAAGTGACGGATTTAGTACGGCTCCATCTTATCGAATTATGTTCATCCACACATGCCACGTTCATGAAACGGCCGATACTGTGCACCAATCAGAACCCTGAGGTTTGGACAGTAAATACCAGCACGCCGGCTTCAATAGGACAATAACAGTGACAACCGAGTTCCATACGGTACACGTTCATAATAAATCATCGGCTTACTTTGTAGATAACGGTTCAGGGTCTGGAAAAACTCGTGTGAAAAATTAAGGCAGTCTAGGTTTTGTCATCGTCTGACAAACGACTATCTGCAATCCGTTCGTTTTAGAGAACTACTTGTTCGAAACTCATGAAACTGGGTAAGATTCAAGTATCACCGTACGAACAAGTAAATACCCCTTGAGAACGAGTGAATGTTGTGATGACCAAGAAAAATAGATTGCTTCCGGGGGGAATTCCTCGCACAATTCTTATCGATTCGATGTACAGTTGTTTTCACGCGATACTGCAACCACACAGTGACGGGTAGATGCTGACGCGGGAGCTGCATAACGGTTTTTGTCGTGTTGCAACTTTAAACGTTAGCCAGTGTGGATGCGAATCTGTCCTAATTTGTAGGGACTGTTAGATCATCCCATGACATTTCTCACAACCGTCTATTGCCGTACATGTATCTAGGATTGTATTAGGGAGAGGAACATATCTTCATAGACTGAATGTCATAGAAAAATGGCCGTAAAGGATGGCTATAACAGTAGGGTTGGTGTGGAGTCTCATGTTAAATTGGGGGTAAAATACACGCGAAGTCGGGCAAGTTGTAGTGACCAATTCTCGCTGCCTAGGTCCAACAATAAGCATCTGTACGGGGCCGTCATGGGTGAATATCGACCGATAAGCTGATTGATCTAAAGGATTCTATTTTTTTAATCCCAAAACAGGGATGTTTGCCGTAAGAGTGATTTATTTAGCCAAACAAACGTCACTTGGTTCAGACAGGCCTGGGAGTTTGTGTGGTGAGTTCTACATTTATATGGGGTGCAGTCAACGTGTTTCTTCTGCTCTAAATATAGGATCCGAAGAGGATGACAATCTGTGTGAAATAAAGAATAATGTCTGGTCTAGTCTAGCCTATTCTAGTATGGATAAAATTTATGGCTAATGACTTTGGTTGTTTGATGCTCGATGGGAATTTTCAATTTACACCAAACGAGACTTGTGAAAAGTTTTCATTTTGTCACCTGCTTTTTCAGTTTGTTGGTTTTGCAAATCCTACCTTTTCCCTCAAAGGTTAGTCATTTGAAGAAAGTTAATTCAGTGATCTTGCAAAGGGACGTCATTCCAAAGAATCGTCCAAGACGGATGTTCCCGGCCGGATCTATATGGGGTTTCTTACTTCTGCAGAGAGTATTCTTACCCCGAGAAAGTGAACGACTTTGCTACCTAAAAAGCAAATGAAGGCGAGTCATGAAACTCAAAATCAGTTGAGAAAACGTTTTAGTGCTCGAATAAATTCTTGAGGAAGTTTGGTATAAAAGACAGGATTTATACACCTCTCAGGCTGTCCAAAACCTAACTGGACAAATTCGCGTTCAAATTTCTGACACTAGTGCATCTACTCAACAGGTGTTGGCTCACCATAAGAGCAAAATCCAACTCGAGTTTTGCCTCCCACAGCTACTTTAATAGTTAATTCCAGTATATTGCGGTCTGTCATTTTGGGGCACCTACGATTCACCTACTGATTTTATAGACTGATGTGCGTCATGCTACAAGCATCGGAATAGAAAATTATCACCCCACGAAGGATTTTAAGCAATGGTCAGTTGGAAGCAGAAAGTCCACATCATCCAGGAAGCATTGACGAGCATGGCGTTTTAGCTTCGAGAAGGTTTGCCCAGTACCCGTGAGGGTCGTCTGTGGTAAGGTGCATCCGTGAGACTGACCCAACTTGCCTTGGAAATTTTAATTAACTAAAGCTTAGAGCACAACGAGCGACAGACGCTAAACTGGCAGATCAGGGACGAAGGTGAGAACAGGCTTGCCACCGGGACCGGTTGCGCTGCCTATTTTGTAGTACCAAGAAACAAACACGGAGCCTAACCGAAAAAGAAGGAGAAAACATAGCTGCCTTCATTTTGCTTGCTATGTCGCGGTGCTTTGTTGTAGTTTACAGTTTCAAATTCACGGTAACACTTTATTTAGCAGACAGTAGTTGAAAAGATATATTGCCATTAGCCCAAAAATTCCCCGTCCTGCGCGTTTCGCAGACACCGCACATTGGGCATCTCTAAAGAAACCAGTTGATCAGTCAGTAGTAAGAAGTTCCTGGTGATAAAAGAAATGGTTGATGCGCGTTCCGCAGACACCGCACAGTGAGCATCTCTGAAGAAACTGGTTGATCAGTCAGTAGTAAGAAGTTCCTGGGCGCAAACTGAAGCACGGTTTTTCGCGAACATTCTCACAAGTCTCTAAACAAACTCAGGCAGCTGCAACACTTTCGGTGCGTTAGTCCTGCTGGATCTTCACCAAGTGATAGCGAGAATTCCTCGAACTATATGCCAAGCGAATACAACTTATTCAAGACTAACAAACCTCAGATTTGCTGCTCGCGGTGCTGGCATAACAGCCAGTGCAGTGCAAGTGATACGATTGATATGTCTGTGGGCGTACCGAGGCGGATAGACGCGTTGACGGTCCTAGCTCATACCTCACAAAACACCGGAACTGGAAGAAGCTCTTGTCCTGATGTGTGCGTTTGATCAGCCTAGGACCAGATGGAAAAGGCTCACCTTGAGGGTTCGGCGCGGTTGGAGCTGCTTTAGTCATATTCAATGTCAGCAGTGTTACCTACGGCTATGAGTGCATCAGGTATGTTTTGTGACACCCACAGCAACATCGGTAGTTTTTCTTGTGTTCCACTAGCTGTCAAAGCTTTCTAAAGCTTACCAGACCTGATAAGCGATTTGCATAACGTTTCTATAAATAGGCTATAATAAACTTGCTGCAGCCGATTTATCTTGGGAGGATATTTTCACATCACAGCATCGCACTCCACAGTGGTGTTTACCGACGAGTAGTCAGATGAGGACATAGTGTAGCGTTTGCCCTGCGCAAACGCGAAAAGACGAAGAATTTTCGAACAAACGGTGCGTGTTTAGCCTTTCTTCCGGATTTGGTATTCGCGAATGGTTAGACACCGTTACACTGCAGAGGCATAAACATTAAAATGTTTGAAAACGGAATACTGCTGGCATTTTAACTACGGCGACCTTCTGGCGCAATTTGCTTCAGGCGATAGATGGCCAAATTGAGTGGACAAACCCTAGAGAGATTGGTGAAGCCTGGCATATATAATATCATCACTGTGACTTTGCAGCCATTCAAAATTAAGAAGGTAGATGATTCAAGGTCCATTTGCTACCAGCTATTTTTACAATGATGTTACGATGACCGTGCAAGATATTACTAGCTGCTATTGTCAGCTAATACTGGATTTGGATTTTGACGAAGCAGATAGAAACGAAGGTTTCAGTGAAAACCTACCAAAAAATGACGAGGAATAAGAGGTATGATATACATGACCCAAGCCTATATCATTCATTCGATCAAATGACTCAAGTAGTTTGCTACGTAATCAATAGAACACTCAGGAATGACTTATGATCATTGTTACTCGCACTATGTATGTGTTAGGGGATGAAGGACCCAACGGTACGTGCATGGTCTTGTGTTAGGGGATGAAGGACCCAACGGTACTAGGTAAAAAACTTAAGTAAGTGTGCCACATTTAGTAAAAAGGTCCAAATACCTCTTTCTCAGCAGTAGATTGTCTTGGAAGAAAACATGTTATAGCTTCTGGTACATTTTATCTCAACTTTATTTGGAGTTTGATGTTGCCAGAGGAAACGATAAAATGAGCTCTTTTCACCCTCCCACATTGGCGTACCGCCCTGGCGCTATATGTGTTCTAACCACGTGCTTCCTCAAAATCATTACGGTGAAGATAAAATGTTGAAAATCAGACGACTTGCTGTTCCATATAGAAAACCCGGGAATATTTATCAAAATTTGTGACCTACTACCAACCAGCTGCCTTCTTTGTAAAACCTACAAACTAGGTGCAGTCATCGAATTTCGGTCATACTCTGTGTATTAAGTGGCATGCTGATAGTTCGGTTAAGTAACCTGATCTCATAATTTCATAAATCATATTGGGTGACAACCGTTATCACGTGTCCATCACATGATAGTTCGTTGCGGTATGGAACAGGATCATTAAGACATGACAATTCCTCCGTCCTAAGGTCTTTTTGTTGCTTATGTTATATCCTATCCAAAGAATAACTGATTGCCACTGAACCATGATTCCCAAGTTATAGTGTTTAGACTCCAGCCCTCTGCTGTCAACATGTCGCGCTGTAAACGGCAAACCTCACAGCTCTCCGTGTTGGTTACTTTCGGTTCAAAGAAGATTGTCTGGAGCATAAAAGTTTGACATTTCTAATCTGATAAACTCATTAAGCGCCTATCACTGACCGCGAGAACGGAATAAACCTGAAATAACGGTGAAAACTATAGTTAGAAAAATGACATTGTGTCATGCTCAGAAGATGACTCAATGTGGAAAATAACGTTTTCTTCTGTGACAGCTGGGTAATGGAGTGCAAGTAAAATGTGTTGTCCAGCGGCAAAAACTTGGTTCGGCAGACTGAATGATGGTCTATCATCGCAGTTGTTACTGGGAATTAGTAGATTTTACATTATCTCCTAGATGGCTGCAATTTGGGACGTAACGCGGTCGCTAATGGACTGGTTGCTACGTTGACCATCAGTCTAGCTTTGAATACCGTTCGAAATTGCTAAAAACAGTAAAAATCATGTGGAAGGCCAGATACCAGAGTGTGAATATCACCAGGGTGAGAAGTGGCAAAATTATCTTTATTTCTTTAGACTTTTTCAAACCGAATCCTGTCGACTTGTCACTTTACTTTCACTCACGTATGAGCTGATTGATCAAAAGAATAGACAACAGAAGAAAGAAAGCTAAAAATAACGAGAAAAGCTCAAATGGCACAAAACAGCTTGACTAAAATTCTCTTAAGCTGGATTTATTCGTTACAATTAAATTGTGAGGTAAAGCTTATCCATGCTACCGTCCTTGCGTTATCCTCACAAGATAACGCGATAAATAGATACTAATCCCGGCACAAAGACCGTGGCTGAGGAAGGTCACTTTAACTCTAT